AAAAAAAAAAAAAAAAAAAAAAAAAAAAAAAAAAAAGATCCCGACTACTCCTTTTGCTCGAGAAAAACATCCTGTTCCTCCTCAACAGTAGAGACACCCCAGTACCGAGGCACTGTCCAATAGTGTCCGTATCAGATCTGTAAAGGGAATGACCCCCATGATGTAGGAGGAACTACATGTTCTGAAACTCCAGAACATAGACCAGGAGACAAAAGTTCTCCAATGACAGAAGAAAGAAGGTGGAAAGAAAAATTCTCTCTAACATCAGAACTAGAAGACTGATTCACCTGGCCAGGAACTACTAGATTGTCAGGAATAGACAATTTAGTCTGCTGAGGTAGTACGAGAAGAAACTGGCGCAAAAAGGGTGCCTCAGAGAGGATGACCCCTTGATACACCACTCTCCTGCAACAGCTGGGAGACTGGTAACTCCCTGACCAAGGGAAAAGTGAATGACAGTGTGTATAATACCAAACAATGAAAAACTTCCAGCGCTGGACCATGATGATACAAGATTCAGCCACATTTTTAAGATATTTGTAACCATCAGCAAGACATTGTCCACTACGCCCTATGTCTACTGTTTTCTCCACCGGAGGTTGTCTGAATGTCCCACAATGAGGATGCCATGGAAAAGCATTAGGGCAAAGCTGGTGCCAGCACCCTGGAGAAAACAGAGTAGAGTGGTGAGATTGCAGTGTGAGAGCTCAGGGAGGGTGGTGATCAGTAAGTATGCGTCGTAGCGGACCACGAAGATCAGAGGGTCCCGCTATAAAGGGACAGGGATGGTAGATCTGATGGATACCTTGCAAAACTGTTGGGACTTGTCCCAAAAAGACAAATGTTTTCTCTGAGAGAACCGTGGCCAGGTTGGGACACATCCCCTGAGACTTAACTGGTACAGGAGCCAAGAAAAGGATATTTAGAGCTAAGAGACCACAAGGGGACAAAAGGTAGGTCTGCTCCTCTTTGTGGTGGCACAGGAAAGCTGAAGAGAATGCTGAAGTTAAGGGTTCAGTCCATAATCCTGAAAGGAAACTCTCTGCACCTAAATATGCTTTAAGGGCAAACTACACAAAAGCCCACAAGGATTAATAGACCCACCCAAAAAAGAGGGGGGGGCACCTTCATGCCAACAAAGGAAACTCTAAAGATTTAGCAGGCTTCTTTCCCTAGACCTTGTGGGTCAAATGCTCCTTGGACATTGTTTCCACATTCCAGAACTTTAACCAGAGTGCTCTGTGCATTTGGATTGCGTAAAAAAAAATAATTAAATGCCATCCTTAATTTAAAATTAAATAAACAAATGGAGTGTTACAAAGTTTATTTCAGAATAAAACTGCAGGCACAATTTTTTGCAATTGCTCCACACTGGAATGCATGACATACCACACAGTACATGTTCCAGTGTGGTCGAACGCACTGTGGGCAGGAGGCACGTTTGGGGTGCCATCAAAGTGAATGGCACCTCCTGCACCAGAATTTGTCAGGCCGAAAATTACTTTTTTCCCCACTTTTTTTTTTTTATAATGGGGCGCTTTTTTCTTTTTTTTACTTTACTGTTAGGGGCTCTTTGGAAATAACCAGGGGTCTAAACAGACCCCCAGATATTTCCCTTCTGAAATAAAAAAAGAATGGACAGTCCTCAATCTTTTTTTCTACTTCCTTCCTGAGCATTAACCCCTTCTGCAATAGAAACAGGCACAGAACAAGAATTTTAAAGATGCCCAGCAATCCCGGGAGGTAGAGCCTGATTGGCTTATTCACAGAGTGAGATATTAGAGACAGGGCAACCACTGAGGAAATAGCAATGGCCTTTTCCACAAGGAGCGGGAGAAAAGATGTCCATGCTCATAGGACACTGGTAGAAGGAAGGGCTGTCCTGGGCTGGACTACAAACTTTTGTTTGGCAGTGTTCAATCCTCCTATAGGTGGCAGTATAATGGCAAGATGAAAAAAAAAAAAAGTATGGCATGTAGTACTTTTTTTTTTTTTTTAGAGCACACCACCACATTCCATGGCGGCAAGCACAGCTCCAACGCATCTAGTGTGAATTCACCCCGATTCCTTTACTACATCAACCGCACTGGATGTCATTCTTGCAGAATATTGATGAAGTGGTCAGAAAATAAAAAATTATGGGAACAATATAAAGAAAAACAAAGTATATTTATCAAGAAAAACTCTAATCTCACTGAGGATCACTATACTCACCAGGCTGGGGCTCAAAGTCTTTCAAGTTCACTTCATAATCCTCTTCGTTTATGTACTGATGCCGTCCCATCATTACAATAGCAAACTTGAACTGTAACCAAAAATGTATTTAAGATAAACAGTTGCCACTCCAAATAACCACATAATTTTTCACACTAGAAATTATCTTGGTAAAAAAAAAAAATCAGTTTCAAATAACTATTTTTTACTTTGTTTTAGCCTTACAACGCCCAAAGTCTTATACACATCACCCAAAATGACACTACAATTTTGGTGTTAACTATATACACAACCTTCAGAGTATGCTAGGTTATCTGCCTCTTTATGCTTATACCGAGAACAGGGTCAGAGCTAGTACAAGTCATCCTTTAAAAAGGCATCCCAAACCGCCCCGAGAAAACGTCCCTTTACCTGCCATCCAGCGATTATGCGCGATCCTTCTTGGAGCGGCCTTGCTTCAGTTAGTGTCTCTGCTGGCTCCTCAACCTCGTGCATGTACACTGCAGCCCTATTCACTACTACCGTATAGTGATTTGTACTCATGGCTGCCTCCAGTGCTCCAGCAGAGTATGACTCTCCTCAAGAAATATAGTGCTGCGGCACAACGTGCGGGTTGAATGCCTGGAGGCTTTCTTTTTTTTTTTTTTAGCATGTAATCTTTTATTGAAATATTTTCCAAGACAGAACAATAAAAAAAAAAAATGACTAAATGCAGTCGTATCAAAGTGATAACCAACATGAAGGAACATAAAATCGCACAGCAACGCCTCAATCAATCCATGGGACTCTTGGGAAGGGCCATAGATGACATAAAATAGGACGTATAATGGACGAGGACCTCGAAATTAGTAAGTTATTTAGGACTAGTAGTAGGAGTCAGTTAGTGGAATGCTAAAGGACATCTAATGCACCCAGAGATCCAGCTAGCTGCGAGGTGAGATACTATGTAGTGTACTGAAACATTGTCATTATCTCTTTTAGTCGTCCTGGGGGAAGTACGGCCAGGAAGAAGGAGGACCAAGTGGCAAAGAAGCCAACAGTAAGGGGTTGATTTAGCTGGGCGTCTAATTGGTCTAGTGACAGCAGTTTGTGCAGGAGGTCTTTCAGCAACTTCAATGTGGGGGGAGCTGGAGTTAACCAGTTTGTTAGTACATAGTACATAAGTGTTCCCACCTAGAAGGATCCCGATGAGCAGTTGTGGCTGTCGGGATGACTACGTGAAACAGACATAACACCGGGTGTAGGAGTCTGTGGGAGCCAGAGATGGATTTCATGTAAGAGAGAACTATGGTCCAAAATGTTTGGATGAGGGGGCATAGCCATATTAGGTGATCCAGATCTGGTGAAGCAGCCTGGCATTTGGGGCAGGACGTCAGCCAATTTGGGGGAGGGTTTTTATAGTGTATAATAAAGGCGTAATACGCCCTATGAATGAATTTGAACTGGGTTTCCCTCTAGGATTCCCTGGCGATGGCCTTCCTAAGGTTGAGCCACACCTGGAGCAGCATTTGGTCTGCGTCTTCCAGCGAGACCTGAAGGATGGCAGCCCATTTGGTTGTTAGATAGAGTGTTATTTGATTCCTAGCGCAGTTGTGCTTAATAGGTGAGTACACCCAAAATAGAAAAAAAAAAAATAGCACTGCGCTTCAAACTCAAAAATATATTCCTAAAATGTGAAAACAATTTTGTGTCATACACAACACCTGTGCTGATGATAGTAAGAAAAACTCTAGGTCTAATGGTCTAGACACTATGAACCATAATAAACATGGGAGGAAAAAAAAAAAGTACATCTCATAAAATGTGTACATATAGAAAATCCTATGTTAAATCTCACAAGTGATGTACAACTCCCACTTAATCTACATAACCACATGTGAAGTCCATTACTTCTGGATACAGCACCACGTCCGTGAATGCAAAAACAATTAGTGAATCAGTGCTCTCCAGTCTCCACCGTGCTCAAAGATAAGATCTGGCCGCACTCACCGACTCCTATTGCTCACCATATTTCAGATGAACAATTAGCGCTTTGTTGATATATAGAACCAAATCCTCTCCTTTGTTTTTAATCCGACAATAAATTGGGGTAGATTTCTCCCAACTCTGGCTTATCTTTCTAAAATCGTGTAAACCTATTCCTCCATCTTCCAATCACACAATCCATGTGCAATTACCTTATTTTAATTGTAAGTGCATTTTAATCGGTTTAAATAAATTTATTCCGACATACTACACTAGTGGAAGCCCTTTTTTCTCTCTCTGAGCACAAGAGAAGGTGGAAGATGGAGGAATAGTTTTTCACGATTTTGGAAAGATAAGCCAGAGTTGATATGTACCGATCCTCTGCCGCTAAGCCACGCACACGGGGGCTCAGCTTCTCCCATGGATCCCCCCTCCTCTCCTGGGCAGAGGGGGATCCGACGAGAAGTGAAAGAACACTTTAGCGGAGGGCCGAGCCAATGTCACAGAATGAAGACCGAGCAGTGAGGGGAGAGAGAGGCACCGGCTGTCAGATCCAGGCCGAGCGTGTGTCTCTCTCTCCTCACTGCTCGGCATTAGTTCTGTGACAGCGGCTCTGTCCTCCGCCGCTGGCTGCAGCGGTTCCTTCACTTCTCGGATCCCCGCTGCATACAGATGGGGATAGCAGCGGGGATCCAGAGAAGACACACTGGCGGGAAGAGAGTACATCTCGCGATCACTGGTAGATCGCGATCGACCTTGTGGGCACCCCTGGTCTAGACCATTAGTTTTTCTTACTATCATCAGCACAGGCATTGTGCAAAACAGGTGTTGTGTATGACACAAAAGTGTGTATCACTTTGTGACAATTTCACATTTTATACAATTTTTTTCCCATTTTAGGAATATAATTTTTTTAATTTGAAGCACAGTGCTATTTTCTTTTTCCAGCCCATTTAGTTACCTGCGGAGAGAAGGATCGAGTAATGTGTGGGGGAGGTTTTTATGAATCGTGAAATTTGTGCGTATTGTAGGAAGTGGTTAGGAGATATGTGATGTTCAGTCTGTAATTCTCAAAATTGTTTGCAGCGGCCTTGGGCATCCAGCATGTCCTGTATGTGGGAGATGCCTTTGGTTTGCCGATCAGCAAAAGCTATGGATTCCCTTCGATGGGGGAAGGCCGGTGAGGATGTGATGGGCATGAGGGGAGGCTTTCTGAAACAAGGCTGTTAGGCAGAGCCATTATGAAGAATGAACACTGGATGGAGGATGAAGGCGATTATTTCTCCATGTAGGTTAAAGACAGCTTCTTCAACAAAAGTCTACTAAGTCTTGGCTGATTCAGCAGGAGTTGGCTGAAACTCTTCCAGTGCATGACCAGCTGAATGCTAAACATGTTGAAGGGCTGTGTATCCGCACAGCCACACACTGTCCTTCCCAGGAGTGAGAATCATAGGCTGACAATGCCGGTCCTGCATAGGGATCAGTTGTCACCCTGAGACATGAAGTTTGTGCCAAGGCCCTTACTTGCTGGATCACCAGGTGCAACTGCAGCAAATATAAGCCACCAGAAAAAGTATACTCTGCATGAATAGAATATAAGCTATACAACACTTTTTTTTCTTTACGGTTTTGGATACCCTTGCCTATTAAGCTTCTATGCCGCTAAAAATATAATAGTCACAATAGGAATGTAACTGGCACTGAGAAATGACCAACTGACAACCCCCGCCCCTCCCATTTTTACCTAACAAGCATCAGTGTTGTGAGAAATAAATATACAGGGCGATAGAAAGCTAACTGACAAGGTCAAGAGAAGAAAACAATTTGTTGGGCATAGACCCAAGAAAAAACAAATATTAAAGATTCCAAAAGAAAAGACCAGTTGGTCATATAAGAGAATGCAGTACAGCGATTGCGCAGAACCCTTAAAGCAAAAGGGACAGCAAGACTGAGGGCAGTGCACAACCCAAATGGTGCATCAAAACACCCTAAGTGAAGGATGACCAGAAAGCCTTCACACCAGCATCTAGAGCCTAGGTTCTTAACTGGAAGGTCGTGAACCAAAAGTGGGTCGCGGCCCTGTGTTCAGTGGGTCAGCACATGCCTTCCACTTTTTTAGGTGAGAGGCTCCTCAGCCTGCCCCTAGCCCAGCACTGTCAGCTCTCACACCAAGCAGCTATTCAAAATATGCTGCCCGGTGCCGAGTGTCAGCTTGAGGTGGGGTGGGGCTATGGCCGCGAGGGACCTCCATCCATACTTGCATTGCTTACAGATCCCTCACGTGTCCTGTAGAGGTGCCAGGAACGGAGAGACGCCACATTCCGGCACCTCTATAGGGCGCGCAAGGGAGCTGTACCAGCAATACACATGTGGATGGAGCTCCTTCACAGCACAGCAGCCCACACTGCACCCCAGGCTGAGAGTCCACTCTTTTTTTTAGGATCCACCCAGTCTCCCTATCTTACAAGAACCGAACAAAACATTTTTTTGGTGTGCGTATGTGTGTGAGAATGTCTGAGTATGTGAGATTGTGTGGGGAGGGAAGCCCCGTATGAATGAAGATTTGTACTGTGGTGTCCATTGGATATTTGTTTTATGCCTTTTTGTCACCTGTGACATTGCGAGTACCTGTTTTTATTCAATAAATTGTATTTTTTGGACGATACGCACTATGTCCTCTTTATATTTTGTCTCCTTTTGAAATTATGTTATTTGCGAGCTGAGGAGGTTATCTGGTCTTCATTCATACAGGCTTCCCTCCCCTATTAAGAAGGGAAATGCGCTTTGAGACCTAGTTCTGTGGGTCCATCTCCCCAGGTAAGCACTGTTCCAATTTTTGCATACAGTGGGTGGAGGTGAAGGTCTGTCAGGATTCTGTGGCAACTGCTTACTTGGAAGTTTGAATCTATCTAGTGGTGGACTATCCCCTGCATTTGTTTGCACGATTATAATTGTTGCACATTGGACTTTGTTTTCATCACTGTGTTTTCATCTTTTCATGTTTTCATGTTTTGATGTGCTCTTTTGAATACATTTTTTAAAGCATATACTTCTATATCTTATTGTTATATCACATATTTCACCAAATTGTATATATTTATTCAGCTCGGCACATGATTGTTATACACTAAACAATATGCTTCTTCTAAAACATTCATCCATACACTTCACCTATATAATGGCACTGATATGTATTTTTCATAAAATCTCTGCTTACTGTGTTTTTCTGCCTCTGCATGCTCCGAAACCAAAATGTCTCCTTTTCCCCCCTTGCATCCCTTTTTTTTGGAACAAACAGTGCATGTAAGTTGTGGTCACATGCACGGTCTTTGAATGCTAATCAAATCCCATAACTCATACTGCCTTATCTTAATGCACAGGATTAAGATTCACTAAAGCCGCTTCCGCCTTTTACACTCATCCACCGAGGACCAGCTGTTTTCCCGAGTCCCCCTTTGAGTCAAGGGCCTATGGGGAGAGATAATTGGGTGGTCATTAGGCTAAAGGGAAGACTGAGGGGACCATGTGTCAGCGCTGAGTGTGTCTACATGTAAGCTTGTCCAACTCAGCAAGACAAGATGGCTACGTTGCCACATACAGTGTGATTATGGAGAAAATATATAACCACCCTCTATCAGGAAGTCAAAACACTAAAGCAAGAGAAAATAAATGTAAAGATTTGGAAGAGGCTGGGAGCCATAGAAGACATTTTAGATAAATACTTGAATAATATTGTTTAATGCAACTTTAGGGGAACTGCCAAAATAGGGGGTCGAGCGAAACCAGTCACTTCAAGTTGGGGTCTGAGGATGGAGCTTAGCGGTCAGTAAAATTCCAAAAGGTAAAAACACCTCTAACCTGTCTGTTGGCTTGCCTTTCAATAAGGATAACTTGTGCATCTAAAGAGAGAAGAGACTGCAAACTTATGAGCTCCCTTATGAGCAGTAAAACTCGACTGTATTAGAATTCCCATGTCCCTCAATGGAATAAATAAACTAGAACGTAATAGTTACCTTTTCAAACTCTTTTTCCTGGATGTCCAGCATAGCTTGAATCCTCTTCATGACCTCTCGGAAAGGTTCCCCCTAAGAAAAAAAAAAAAAGTCAAATGCTTGGAAATACATTCAATGTGATTTTTGACATTTGTTTAAGGTCAATGTGAACAAATTTACCATCCGTAAAATATTGAAAGAATTTAAAAAAGTTTTCCCAAAGAGATGGAAAGCACACAGCACACATCTCAAACACATGACAAAGAATCCTCAGGGTGGCAGCTAAGGATTTAAAGCTGCCTCTTATTACCAACTAGCATCCCAGCTGGTGGTGGTTCATGACTGGCTAATCCCCCAGATGGGAAATGCCTGTACAGCAACGGAAGCTGCCATACTGACCTCCTTCGAATCTCTCCAAAATGTTGTGTTTAGGGGGATCACTAGCTCACACCCTGGCAGAGCCTTTATATCTGTGACCCTTCGTATTCTACGCTATGTTACTCATACTTTCCTGGTCTCATTCTCCCTACTCTCCCCTATGGGGTAATCCTTCCCTCCCAAAGCTGCAGCGCCTACCATCGGCCGCCTTCTGGTCCTCGAAGGGCATTAAATCTCAGTCTCATTTATTTCGCAATGGGGTGATGATTGGTTTCCCACAGCTCAGGGAGGAGCTACGACTCTCCCCGTCTGATGTTTTGGCCTACTTTCTTCAACTGCACGCGGTCCGAGCCCAATTTGGTTCGAACTCCTTTATACCAACTCAGTCCTCCCTAGAGGAGATGCTGCGCAGGGATAGCACCTCTAAATTGATTTCGGCCTACTATATGGAACTTATGTCCCACAGGTCTGGTAGATGTGACCACCACTTCTGTCTACGGCTGTCAATTCTCCCAGACCTGGCGGAGGATGATTGGAGTGATTTTGGAGATAGATACATGTCCTCAGTGATAGCCTTAAGAGATAAACTAACAGATGAATTTTTTTTATCAAGTATACTACACTATTATATACAATGGGTCTTCGATCCAACCCACATTGCTTCAAGCTCTGTGGTCATGAGGCCGATTTCCTCCACTCTTTTTGGGCATATCCACAAATACGGGCCTTTTGGTCTGAGGTTACTTCCTTCATGGAGGCTAGCCTTGGTTTCCCCAACATATGCAACCCTGCATTTTGCCTCCTGGGTCTGTTTCGTGAGCTGCCATTAGCTTCTGGAGCTCAGACACTACTCTGCCTGCCTTTATTTTATGCCAGAAAGGGGTAGCCCCAATTCATTTTAATGCATTTTTTTTAGCTGTGCCATTTAAAAAAAATAAAATAATCAAAACTGGGGAAAAAGTGTTTTCTTTACGTTTTTTCCTCTTTTTTTTCTATATGTCATTCATACTAAGTGAGGCGTTAGGCACACATATGTGATATAAATATATAGTCCTATCTGTCCTCTGAAAAACAATATATGTATGGGCGCATTTAGTAAGAAAGTATATTACTGCCATTGAAGAATCACACAGCAAAAATGTCAAAAGTGCTTCAGTCATTTACGAACAGAAACTGAAAAAAAGGGGTTAAAACACACTAGAACAATGTTCTGCAAACAGAAGCCAGCTGACAAGTGAGGCACAGGGGCACAGACCACGTACCTGACTTGCTTAAGCAGCTACACGGTCTGCATCTCTGTCAGATGCAGACCGCATAGCTGATGCTGGCTGTGTCAGTGCTCAGTTCCTTTCGGCTGGAGCTCTGGCTGAAAGGATGCATTAGTAAGGTAATGATGTGCCTCCTCGCTTCCTCCCAGGACAAAATGTAAACAGGTGAGGGGGCCCTTTGCTCTATTTTTTGTGTGCAGGGGGGAGAGGAAACAGGGGAAGCATATTTTATGTGTGGGGGGCAGGGAACAGGGGGAGCATATTTTATGAGTTTGGGGGGAGCAAGAAAAAAAAAACCCCTGCTGTACATGTACGGCCCCTTTCCAGTGCTATAAGTTACGGTATTGAAAGTGAAGACTGTTACAATATGCATGGCTAATTATTCCTTCTTTTGGTGGTATTTAATAACCACTCGTACACAAAAAATGCACTGAGCACAATACAGACTATTCCCTAATCATAATATACCCTTTTGATAACAGTAAATAATATGCTCCCTAATTATCAAAAGCAAGTAGGTCTCTTGTGCTCACACAATAGAATACTTATTCATAAATTGTGTCCATCCTACAATGTGGTATATTTTATTCCAGTGATCATAAATTGTGCCTATTCCACATAAATCATTCTTCTTATCTAATATTGTGCCCCTTTATCCATGTGACGAGATCGTGACATGTTCACAATATAAAGTAGGTGTGTGTAATGCAACACATCTATTTTACTAATAACCACTGTCTGTTAAGTGTTATATAAAGTAAATTTAAAAAAAAAGACCCAAAAACTTAATATAAAAATGTCATCAATTTGGGCCAAAACATATTCTACTACATTTTAGATTGTAAGCTCTCACAGGCAGGGCCGTTCTAACCATCTTGTCTTGAATTGTATTGAATCTGCAATGTCTTACCTATATTGTAAAGCACTGCAAAAACTTTTGGTGCTATATAAATCCTGTATAATAGTTTCTTTGGTAAAAGACCCAAGTGTAAATTAGTCTGTGTGAAAGTTAGAGAGTCTACAAACTATAAGACAGAAATATATGTATGTGTTTTTGTATAATATAAAGTACAAGCTTCCCCCTTAATAACTCAATTTCTGAAAGTAGACACCCGAAGGTATTTAGTAAGAGGAATAATGAGAATTTTGAAATTCTTAATTTTTGCCACAATTTTTGTGAAAATTAATGAAATTGGATTTTCCCCCACCACAAAATTGTCATTGAAGTTATTTCTCACTAACATCATGGGCATACTATTTGCTATTCATCTTGAGTATGAAGATACTATGTTTAAGACCTTTTGACAGCCTAGCCACAGAGGGGCTCAAAATCCAGGGAGCAACTGCATTTTCACTTTTGCATTCAATTTTGAGAAAACCAACTATATGTCTGTTATGTGTTCCTATTTACACAGCCTACCTGACGGAAAAAAAAAAAGTATATATACATTGTCTTACCTTTTACATGTCTCTCTGTATCAGGCATTTGGATAGATGGCAAGCTTATCGCTACAATTTCACAGAGACAGTAAACTCCAGCTGTCCCCATAGAAACAATAGGGACACACTGACTTTCCTCTTATTGACATAAAATACTTCTAGATCTTAAACATTTGTTAGAACAGTGTTCAAATCTAGTTCAAAACACAGCATGTAAGTAGCAAGTGGAGTCAAAATGATCCAGGCTCAAATGTAACCAAGGATGCTTTCTATGGTTCCCATCAAATAATTCATTACAGCTATGTAAAATAAAACGGCAATCAATTGAAATATACCTGTTGTATTCTTAGCAAAAATGGAATTCCAAATGTGCCAAAAACTTCCTTGTGAAAATGAGCCACAGTAATAAGCATTTCATTTTCTTTGTCGATATCTACCTGGTCCAGAGGAATTTCCTGTAAATCAGAACAAAATGATTGAAAACAAACAAGTGACAAGTTTATTTGCAAAAAGTTACTAGAATATCATTTCAAAACAAAAGACATATAGCCTAGGTCAAGTTTAGCAGCATTTCTTTAATACATTTTGGTAGAACTAGTAGTGTAAAACAGAATAGCTGGGACCATAAACTTGCCTCTATTCGAAATGTTCGACTTGTTGCAGGTGATAAACATTCTAATAGCTCCTCCTCTTGATGCACACCAATGATCTTGTAGCTTACAATTTCTAGCAGCCTTAGTTCAAAGAAAAAAAGCGACATAAGACATAATAAGCATTGTTTTTGACCCAGAAAGCTATTAATTTACATACACAAGGCACAAACCATTTGACTAGGGAAAAAAAATCTAGGGGGTGTCTGGTATATCAAGATGAATGTCAACAGAACAACTGATCTGTACAGCAATAAGGTTTCAGCAACCTTTCATGGCATGCAATTTTTATTGGATGTCTATTTCTACATCCCAAGATATGAGACTGTTCATAATTATATTTACCTGGAAGCATTTTTCCGATATTACCTGGCATGGCTGCATATGTATTTTATAGACCTTTCTGATAAAATTAAGATTGTTACTGTCTTCTAAAAAAATCTTTTGTACAAAATTATTTTTCTATAGTCTGGTAATTGCTTTCTTATGTCTATGGGCAGTGATACGCTTAGCTTGCAAAAAATCCAACAAAAAAAAGGTTTTGAGTAGACTAAAGGCATTATTAGTATATGAAAAGTAAATTATTTTCAGTTCCAGGCAAAAAGTCTTTAAAAAAAATCTGCAGTGTAAATATGCAAGTCTTAAGAGGTGTATGCCACTTCAACTATGTTTGTCATTACAGTGTTATTTACAAATTCAATGAGGTCAGGAGTAAAGCACTCACTATACTTCTGGTGAGTATAGTGTTTGTCTACACCCCTCCCCCCTTCTTTGTATTCTGTAAGTAGTTCACAGAATTGTTAAACTCTATGGACCTTTGCCTTTATTCAACCTTAACAACTATGTAATATAAAGTTTTATGCGACTGGACAAGCGGTAAGGACGGTAAGAAACTAACAGCCTGGCTTAAAGGAGAACTATGGGGTTAAGGCTTTTCCCCATAGTTCTCCTTAGGGTAACGGGAGGACACAAACTAGCGTCCTCCCGTCACCCTAGGCACAGTATACCGTGAGCTATAGCTCGCGGTATACTAAGACGCCGCAGCTGAAGCGGATCCAGACAATTATGTCGGGATCCGCCCAGCTGGCTCCGCCTATTAAGAGGCAGAGCCAGCTGTACCCGCCCCCTCCCCCGTCCGTCAGCGCTGGCGGATCGGAGCGGGGAATCCAGCCCCTCCCCTGTCACGGCAGAGAGCCGTGACAGGATCGAGAGGTGAGCGAACACCGGTATGTGTTCGCTCACCTCCCGATCTACTGAGCCGACCTGTGACAGTTTCATTGTCACAGGTCGGCTAGAACTATGAGGTGAGTGAAAAGCACTTAATTTAAGTGTACGGGGCTAACATGCCGTCTTTGGATGGCCTGTTGCATCCAGGAAGCTGCCGGACGAATTCTTACTGACGGGAGGCAGTTAAAGTACATTCTAGTACATTCTTCATTTACTCATCAGGAATGATAAATTCATTAACTCATCAGGAGTTAAATCTTGAAAAAGTATCCTATTAACAAAAATGTACATTTGTGTATCATTCAGCTGTAGATCCTCAGATCATCTCTGAATTGGTGCTGACACTGTCCTTCCGTCTAGAGTGTGGCTACTTTTGTTCCCCATGGTCCCTGTGTGTTGTAAAGAAGACACCACTCCTGTGATTGACTACAATCTCAATCCAAATTTAAAACTAAATGTGAGATTGTAATCCATCAGGGTATCGTTAATCCAGTTCCTGTGTTAAGCAGGTTCCATGTCAACCTGTTTAGTTTTCACACCAGGACTGTACGGAGGGGGGGGTCTCCAGGGCTGTGCCAGCCTCTGCGTAAAGGAGATGTGCTGGCGATGTCTAAGGCAGCCGCCAGCTCCCCAGCAGACTGCTTGAGATCCCACTCTTCCTGGCCGAATCTATTAAAAAGTTTAAAGTGCCGGTATCGGCACTTAGTTTTAGGGCATTTTCACAAGTACTCGTGACAATGTCAAGTATCGGCGTGTCCCTACTCACAAGGTTGTGTTTTTGGTTGCCATCACCTCTATAAGATGAGTCTCTGCTGCTGACCTTATACTGTAAACAGCCCTTTCTGGTCTTACACAAAGCTTATGGGGTTCTGGCCAGAACTACCTTCCTACCCAAGATAGTTTTGGACTTTCACCTCCACCAAGACCTCATTCTCCTGTCTGGCTCCAGTTCATGATCAGATCTCCTTACATTTCCTTGATTTATTTCTGCCTGTGGGGTTTATCTCACAGCTAGTGCTTCCTTTAGAAAGACTGACTCTTTGTCATTCCTGATGGTCCCCGTAAAGGTGGCCCAGCTTTATTTAAGCTTATGGGCTTCAGGATCACCTTTTCCTGTCAAGGCACAAATCACTAGATGTGCAAGTGCATCTTAGACTCTATTGCATTAGGCTACCTTTTCTAAGATATGCTAGGCTGCCACTCGGTCTTGTGTTTCTAAGTTCTCCAAGGTTCAGGCCTCATCTGATGCCAGTTTCAAACGTAAGGTCATTCAGGCAGCTCTTTGAGGTGCAGGCAATTTGCCGTTCTGGTGCCCATACCTCAGTTGGACTGCTTTTGAACTTCCCAACAGTATATGACTTACTGTGTGCTCCTTGGACGAGAAATAAAGAAGTTTTTTTTTGTCGATAAAATCCCTTTCTTGGAGTCTATTGAAGGACACATCCCTCTAGTGCTGGTATTGCCATTATGTTTTTGAACTACTTTGTGACAACTGGGCGGAATATCAAAAGGAGAGGTTGTGGCCCATAGGGATGTTGCTTTAGTTTTTTGGGCCTAGTGTCCAGTCCTCCAATAGGAGACAGTATGAAAAGCATGACTGTAGGGATGGTGTTCTTAGGGTCATAGTCAGCATTTTTCTTCCTCCAAACACGGCGAGTCAAGTTAATGTCAAAGAGCTCAATTTTGGTCTCATCTGACCGCAGCACTTTCTCTGTTAGTCACCGCTCTCCGCAGGGATTCCCCTGCTCCCCTCTCTGTTCCTCCAGCACATACTGGAGGGACAGTCAGGGGAGGGGGCGAGCACAGCTGTCTCTAAAGAGGCAGAGTCAACTGTCAATCAGCAGGGTAGATCACAATATTGTCAGAATCTTTCCCAGCTGCGCTCTCTGCAAATAGTGGGCAATAGCCTGCTAGATGCTGACTTTGGGACACAGGAGTTCATTAGTAAATGTACGCCTTTGACCCAAAAGTGGACTAAAGGGAGGGGGAAAAAAAGGAAGGTTTACTTTAAGTTTTCATTGAAAGGGAGAAATAACAGATGTAAGAATCAGGAAGCAATACTTAAGTCTAGAAGGAAACAATGTGGCTTATGAAGAGACATGCAACACTGTTTAGCGCAGGGAATCAGTCTCCCAGTCAGTTACAGGAGGTACGCTCACATTTTTCTAAAGGCAAAAATCTTGCAGCCTCTAGATCAAGTCCAGTGGAAGACCATTTAGAACTGACTTGAACAGAGATCCCTTCAACTTGGGAAAATTGACTTTTGATGAATTGGACTCAAGGAGAAGGGAAATGGATATATGCGTAAAGAAGAACCGTCCAGAATGATACGTCCGTCCAGAAATTCTAAATTGTCCAAAAGTAGGACAATTGGAAAGCGCTGAAGGACAAAATGAGAAGAGGGACTGTGTGAAAGCAATTTCTCCTCCCTCAAGTACCTAAAGAGGCAAATAAGAAGAGATCTTGTTTACTGAAAGAGTGTAGACTATGAGAGCCTTGGCTTAAAAGAAACTGTGAAAGCTAGGACAATAGAGAAGATCCCCTGGGCATTCCACAATAGGGACCTAGAAAGAAAAAAACTAAATAAAATCAGGCACTAGGACAAACATACTAGTCAGTGCCATGAAAAGGCTGTAAATCTACCAAAGTGCACTGAAGAGTCAGGCTCCTACAAATGCAAGGTAGTAGTAAGAATTTACACCTATCGATCTAGCAAGTCACAAAATCCCCCAAGGGAGTTTTAGAGCTTGAAAAGAGCCAAGCATCGCCAAAAGTGCAAACTATAACAGGCTATGGTTCCCTCTGTGTATACCGATAAATCACCTGTCTTAATGACAAAGAAGTATGGGCTGGAGTCACCTGTTGCAGTGGAGTGGTTCACTGGGCGTCTTTGAAAAAGACATTTTGCACAGCCTAGAGCTTCTTTCTGGAGCCAGCAAAAACCCCCATCTTTTTCTGTCTTCTTTTCATTACCAATTAACCAGGGGTTGGTTTCCAGAAAGGGAGGATCTGTGCATCACTAAACATTTTCCTTCCTTCATTACTAGTCTTGAGTTAATAATTGGCATAATTGTGCTTTATGTTAGGCTAAAGAAACTTACCTCAGTTTACCTGATCCTTTCTCAGAGAGTTCAACAGCTCTTTTACATTCTTCTAGAAGATCTCTTACGCAACCATGCTTGTCTGGATATAGTGTTATTTCCTGTCAAAGAAACAATAAATCTTAAGCATGTCGAAAAAAAATGAATTCCGTGTTCGTTTAGAAGGGCCATGACAGTATGGTGTGGGGACTGTGAAAAGGTGCATGTACTAGCACAATGGTGCACCTTTAGAAAAAGGCCATATAATGTAAAACCAAACTTTGTATTACACAAAAGTGAGAATATGTCAAAGGTCCTCCCAAGGACATATGCGTTGTCTATAGGATGAGGCAAATTAAGTGTTTTGCTTCCATTCGCAGAGAATGAAAGTACATGCAATTTTGCAGGGTGAATTGCTCTGCAAATTGTTGATAAATACATCCCTAACTGTTTTAGGAAGGAAAGGATAAGAACCTTAGTCCACCCTAACCCGTATCATGCACCAGGAAATACACATTTGTATCTACATCACTTTCATGATTGTGTACATTATAAACATTCCATCTCAACAAGTTATGAATGAACAGGAACACTCAGTATAGAAGATTCCTGTTCATTTATAACAGGGGATGCAGAAAAAGAGATTAAGGGACTCTGTGTACTCACTCTTTTTCTATTTGAAAAGGGAAATATCGGGGGTCTGTTTAGACCCCTGATATTTCCCAAGAACCCCCAACAATAAATACAAAATATTTAATAAAATACAAAATTTTAAAAAGTTTATAAAAAATAAGTAAAAATAAAATATGTATAACAAATTAAAAAGGCTAGAAAAAAAATATTTTCTGCTTTCTCTAACTTTTTATTTTCAGTTTACCTCTAGATAACTCATCTTTTATGCCAACTGCAGTTGCGATTTTTGTCCTACTGCAGCACTATGGTGGTTAAAAAAAAAAATCTGCAAACATTTCAGATGCTTTAAAAAAAAAAAAAAAACCTTTCATCTAGTGTAGGAGATACTTTAAAGCGCCTAACCCTAACAATGAATTTCTCATATTTGCCTAATTTTGGTCTGTTAAACATATCACTGAAAGTGTTTTGGAATATCTGTTTGAGGGAAAATACCTATTGATCCTGCCACAAATCTTGTGCCTGCGCTGTTATCAACAATAGAAGAAGAGAAGGGTTCTACCTTTTTCTGTTTTCCAGATAAAGGGTTACCAAGAGCTGTCATCCTAGGACTTTAGGTGTATTTCCACTGTTGCAGCCAAATTAGGATATCAAATAATAATTAAAAAAAAAAATGTTGTTTGCATATTACACTATTTGGAAAAAAAAGTTTTCCACTGTACTGAATTTTCCTCTGGAATGCAATGAGGCTGGGCAGGCTTATGTTAACATATTCAACTGCCTGTACTGTGCTGGCTGATACCATTATCAGTTGTAAACAAGATTTGAATAAAGTCCCTTTTAACAACGTTTTTAAGGTTCTAGAAGCATTGCATGGTTAAGAGTGGAAGTTCAGTGTGTCCCAAGTCTTTTAAGGTGGACAGCCAGAGTTTCCTGTCACTTTGAAATTGAGAGAGCTTGCAAATGCATGCTACAAAGACATCAAAAAGATAAGAAATATAAATAATTTTAAAAAACCTTTTAAATATGCTGTGTGGATAGAAAAAAAATGCATAAAGGTGTTTTTTTTCTAATTTTACTGCAAAAATGGAAATAAAACTTTAAAATGTGTTACTTGCAGAATTCATCAGTTAAAAATTAAAAAAACAATAACAAACAAAAGAAACCCCGAGAAAACTAATGCAGCCACCACATCTAAAGACCAGTAAACTCCCTATTATCGGGCATCCACAGTGATTGGTAGATTCCGGATAAATGTTGTTTCTGGTTGCTTGAGAGCTACTATTAAAAATAGGTCTTACGGAGGGGCGGAGCTTGCTAATGGCGGCGGCTAGACGTACTCGTCCTTAGCTCCGCAAAACCGGACCGGGCATCGGCACTAAAGTGCCTCAGCAACGCTCATGATGGGCGCCAAGAGGGGCAAAAAGTCACAGGGCTCCAAGCCGGACCGCGCACGGACCCCGAGAGCCGCGATCTCCAGCTTCTTTGCGGCCCCGGCATCTACCCGATCTGCAGACCGCACGGCGGCCCCACGTGGAGTCTCCCCAGATGGCCCTGACTCACCCTCCTCCCAGCCAGCCGACATGTCTCCCGTCCTGGCGGACCCAGAGGCTTCCTCTGATGAGGATTCGGTCCAGGATGGGTCCACAGGAGATGTCAGGCGTCTGCTGGATCACCTCCCCTCCAAACGGGACATGGAGACCCTGTTTGCTCGGTTTGAGCATATGCATAGGACGGACGTGGCTGGCCTGCATGATGCTATCAAGGGGGTCCACAAACGTCTGGATACAGTGGATCTGCATTTGGATACCCATCGCATGGCCATCAATGCACTACAAGCTACAGCTTTAAACCAACATAAGCTGCTGCAGTCTGTGTGGACACACATGGATGACGCTGAAGATAGGAATCGGAGGAACAACATTAGAATTCGCGGCCTGCCGGAAGCGACGGGGACGTCGGACCTGGAACCCACTGTCAGAGGTATCTTTAACTCACTACTAGCTAGAGGAGCGACGGACCCTATCGACCTTGACAGGGTGCACCGAGTCCCGGGATACCGCAATCCTGCGTCGCAACAGCCCAGGGATGTCTTATGTCGCGTCCACTTCTATAAACTGAAGGAGGAAATTATGTCCAAGGCCCGGGATCGGGGATCCATTGACTTCGACGGAGCAGCCATTACATTCTTCCCTGACCTGTCGCCCCGCACCATGGCTCGCCGCAGGGCTCTGCGCCCCCTTACAGCGTCCCTGCGGGACCGTCACGTCCCTTACAGATGGGGATACCCCTTCCACCTATCGGTGCGTCATAATGGTCGCCTGGTGATTCTACGCTCCCCGGCGGATCTGGCGGGATTCACAGCAGCACTAGGAATCCCCGCGGTGGAACTGGACCCATGGCCGGACCCCCCGGCTCCTGTGCTCCCTGAGGTCCCCTCACTACCCCAATGGACTGAAGTCTCCCACTCTAAGAAATCGCGGAGAGATTTCCCCACTCGCAGCTCTCTACCTTAAAGATGATGGATGGATGCCGCTACCTCAACCCTGCGTGAGGATTTCGGAATCTCTTTACCTGGTTTTCTTTTTATTGATTTCTCTCTCACGTTTTATTTTTTTTTTTGTTTCTATTTTATCTCTGGTGATGTTGTGGGTGGAGGACACCCCCAGTGCCATGCTGCCCCGTGGATCACGGTTCACTTTTCCCCTGACGGATGCATTAGCAGCTGGAAGTCGTTTCCTGACCCCTGGGTCCTGTCCTTGTTGCTGGGATCCCCCTGTCGGCTCAACCCCCAGCGTCCTTGGGCACACGGAGAGCCCCTTTTTGAGGTGATTCCCTGGATGTACCTATCTTTAACCGCCTGCACACCAGAGGATAAGGCACTGGGCTGGACGTCCTGGGACTCCTCCGGACTTTGGGACTGTAATTCTACCTCCGGCTGTGGCCCATGATGGAAGAAGACCCCGCTCGGGTGATATGCTGCTTTATTGCTGCCTGTTGGATGTATTGCATTATGTGCTATTTCTTTGCTCCCCTGGGATTTGCCGAATGGGACAGGGGCTGCATACGCCTTACTGCCTTGCCTGAGAGGGATGCTCCCCTGGTAGCCTCTATCTGTACCCGTGTGTGGGACCATGCCCTCCTGGTGCCCCCCCCCCCCCGTTTTGGCAAATCCTGGTGCTGACATATGCTGCCCAAGGGGTAGGCCTGCCCTGCATATCCTCTAAGATCTGGCATATGGCTTCGGGACCATGGCGTCTGTGATGTACCCTCTTTATGTCCTGTGATCCCGGGCCTCCCCCAATCTCATTTCTCTTCCCACTCCCTCCTCTCCCTTTCCTTGATTCCCTCCCCCTCACGCCATTGGGTCCGGCGGAAACCCCTCCTCTCCTCCCCCTCTGCCCTCCCCACTAGACGTCTTTCCCTAAATGTTTCCCACCCCGACTTGCCTCTCTATCTGGCAAGCACCTCCCCACCAAAATGTTTTGTCCCCTTCGTCCTGTGATTTTGATGTGCTTCGTTCCTTGTCCTCTTTTCTTAATGTTGTCTGGTTGGATGGGAGACAATGCGATCATGTTACCCAGTCTTAAAGGTCTCCTGACCGAGTCATACATAGCTGTTACTGAAATATGACACCTAACATACAATACTTGATTCAATCTGTGTATCCCCGTGTTCTAGGAGCTGAATGTATCTATATACATGCATATGCCTATCTCTCACGATGGAGCGTATTTACGTGACTCTGTATTACATTGATCTCCATGTTTACATGTCTTTCATGTTAATTGTGTTAAAACCCTTAATAAACACTTATTATTTAAAAAATAGGTCTTACTAATGCCATACCATAACAAACTCTGTATTGACTTCATAGTAATATTGAAATGCAGTAATCAAAAGCAAATTAAAGCAAATAGACACACTAAAAACAAAGACAAATAGGCACACAATCGTTTCCAGGACAATACATGCTGCAGATAAGCACAACAATGTATACACAGAGGATTATTTTTTTTCTGGCTAGAGGAGAGTTCTGGTTAGTTGAATTCCGGATAACAGAGTTTACTGCATTACATTTTTATTTTCGGGTTTAGATACACTTTAAAAACGCAAACAAACATTTTTTTCTTTCCACTTTTTTTGATAGGCACATAAAACAAATACGCATCTTCTGAAATTCAGAGGTGTGAAGAATGTGAACTATGCTTTAAAAAACACAATCCACAGAAACAGAATCTGTACCACTGAACACAACAGTGGAGACAGGGAGAGTGAAAATATCTACAGCATTATGTACAATATAAAGGATTCTCAACTGTCTACACAGACTTTGCCTTGCATGTGCACAACACCTTTCTTAATACCTAAGAACTGAAACCACTGCTTAAGAACTTCCCTATACCAAATCAAAGCAGAGCATATGGTCAGTTTATTACAAACCTCTTCTCTGAATTGGCTATTCAGCCATATACACTTGAAACTTCTTCTGTTTTCAAAGTCTGTAATCTTCATTTTAAGCTGCAATTGGCAAAGAAAAACAAAAGTCACTTAATTTCACAATATTTTCTATATAATTATTTTGTTTAATAAGTAAATGTACCTGCTGGTAATATAGTTTCTTGGGCTGCCTAGGCTTGAAGAACTGCAGAAGGTCCCTTAAGGTTCCTTCATAATTATGCCTAAGAGGGTTTCCAGGACCATCCCTGTAACTATAAATAATTAAGGTATAAGCAACAGATCTATATAATCACCACGCAATGCCACTATAACCATTATAGCAATGAGACAGCTGATCATCTGTGTCACAAATGTTTGGATTTGTCTGTGAATCTTTGAATGTTGAAACTGTGCCGCTTATCTGCTCTTCAGCCTCTAAATGTATTCCACACTTGCAGGTGTGTGGAGTACTTGCTCCCTTGCCACACGCAGTGGTTTCTCCGATCAGCTTCCATCACTACTACAGTATGTATGAGCTTGGTGGAGGAACCACAATGTGTGACAGGGAAAAGAGCTATTTGACCCACCTTGTGTGTCAAATACTTGCAGTGGCCAGGGAGGAATAAAGAGATGATTCAACGCATGGGCCATCAGAAAAGTAAAAACATTTGCTCTTTTTTTAAATGTATGCTGTTGGATACATGTGGACTTTTGCAGCCAAATTGGGACAACACCTATTTTATATTTGTCACATGTTCTCATTCACATAGCGTAACAATACAAAATGTAAACATTGCTGCTTACAAATTTCCTATCTTTTTTTGAAGGAAAATACTTTCGCTAAACTGAATTTTCCTCCCTGTAATGCAAAGGAGGGTGGGGAGTTAAAGTAACACTAAACTCAGGAATTACATCTTAAAAATACATTCAAGTACCTTTACTATTAACAAAATGTTGTCATTTGTGTATCACGCAGCTGTAGATCCTCAAATCATCTCTGAATTTGTGCTGATCCTGTTCTGCCTTCTTTTGATTTAAAGGTGCCCATACACACCTTACAACCATCGCACAACTTTCGTTGTGCGATGGTTGTAAGGTCATTAAAATCTCGTACGATCTGCCCATCTTGGACAGGCAGATTGTACTTGCGATGATTCCAATGCTGAGCGGGCAGTGTGCACTAGCGCACACCGGCCCGTTCGGCATTTGTCTTTTCCGAGCGCGCAACGAAAGAGAATAAGGATTTAATCTATGTATTTAACTGTTTGTTTCAAGTCCAGCTTTAATGAAAGTTATTCTTTTAACCACCTGAAAAAAAGTTCCAAAGTTCAATGCTTACCCTTGAGATTTAAAAAACTGTAGTAGCATTGGATCGGTGTTAAGTCTTTGTGCAACAGTTTTTGCAACCTGAAAGACAGCATTCCACAATATTGTGTACATACTTAGACTATAAGCTTCACATTGTATACAAAACCCATTTATATCCACCCATCCATATGCTTATCTATCCATCCATCTCGATTACACCTATCCATCTCTACTTAGCATTTCTCCATACTGCTTATGACTCTACAAATCTATCATAACCAAATTGTCTGTGTCTGTTGTACAAAAATGACTAATTAGTTAATGTTTGGTATGCAGCGCTTAAATATTGCACACGACGGAAACAACTATATACTTTTTGTTTTTTTTATTAGATAATCTCGATACAGGAGTTTCATTCCATCAAAACATTAACTTCGAGCATGAAGCATGTCTTATTTTTCTTGCAAGTGAACAGTAACATACAGTGTGGAAAATATTTGATCCCCTGCAGATTTTGTACGTTTGCCCACTTGCAAAGAAATAAAAGGTCTCTAATTTTTTATCATAGGTGTATTTTAAATGATAGACAGAATATCAACCAAAAATCCAGAAAAAAACACGATACAAATGTTATAAATTGAGTTCCAGTTCAGTGAGTAAAATAAAGTACGGTATTTGATCCCCTACCAACCAACAATAATTCTGGCTCCCACAGACTGGCTATGTGGTACACAGGAGCACCTTCTTAAATTGACAGGACTAAAGTTTGCCAATGCACATCTAAATGATTCAGAGAAGGATTGTGAGAAAGTGCTGCGGTCAGATGAGACCAAAATTTAGCTCTTTGGCATTAACTTGACTCGCCGTGTTTGGAGGAAGAAAAATGCCGACTATGACCCTAAGAACACCATTCCTACAGTCAAGCACAGAAGTGGAAACATTATGCTTTGGGGCTGTTTCTCTGCTAAAGGTACAGACCGACTTTGCCGCATTGAGGGGCCACGTATAGTAAAATCTTGGATGAGAACCCCCTTCCCTCAGCCAGAACACTGAAGATGGGTCATGGATGGGTCTTTCAGCGGAACAATAATCCAAAACATACCGCCAAGGCAACAAAGTGTTGGCTCAAGAAGAAGCACATTAAGGTCATGGAGTGGCCTAGCCAGTCAACAGACCTTAATCCTATAGAAAATGTATGGAGAGAGCTGAAACTTCGAGTTGCCAAGCGACAGCCAACAAAACTTAAGGATTTAGAGAAGATCTGTAACGAAGAGTGGACCAAAATCCCTCATGAGATGTGTGCAAACCTGGTAACCAACTACAAGATACATCTTACCTCTGTGCTTGCCAACAAGGGTTTCTCCACCAAGTACCAAGTCATGTTTTGCTTGGGGATCAAATACTTATTTTACTCACTGAACTGCAACTCAATTTATAACATTTGTATCATGCGTTTCTGGATTTTTGGTTGATATTCTGTCTCTATCATTTAAAATACACCTATGATAAAAATGATAGACCTTTCATTTCTTTGTAAGTGGGCTAACTTACAAAATCTGCAGGGGACCAAATAATTTTTTGCCACACTGTATGTCAGCTATGCTATAAAAATAAGATGTACTCACAAAAAAAGAATAAACTAATATAAAACCATTATGTTCTTATCATATAAATGCTCTAGAGCAGGCGTGCCCATTAGGTTGATCGCGATCTACTAGTCGATTGCACAGCGATCACTGGTAGATCGCGATGTCCTGTCCTCCTGTCGTGGGGCTTCTCCTCTGGTTCCTCGCTGCTCTCCCCCATCTGTATGCAGCGGTATTCCGAGGAGAAGGGATGGAAGCGCTGCAGCCAGCGGCAGGGGGGTGGAGGAGGGAGCCGCTATCACAGCAGCATGGCTGAGCAGTGAACTGGAGCGATCAGCTGATCACTCCAGTGTTTGTAAATAACTGGGGACATACAGTACTATGTGTCCCCAGTTATGAATGAACAGGATGTGCTTTAACATCACTTCCTGTTCATTCATGAGTTTATGTGGAGTAGCACTCTGTAAAGAGGCGCCTCCCCATCCAGAAACTGGATGACAGTAAATAGTTTCTGAATGAATGGGAAGCCTTTGTGCTTTCCATCCATTCAGAACAGAGGCTGCAGAAAAAGAGATTGAGGAATTTGTGTCATCAATTTATTTTTCTATTTTAAAAAGGGATCAGGGGGCTATTTAGACCCCTAATATTTCCCCAAAGCCCCCAGCTGCGGTGCCATTGACTTCAATGCACCGCCATGCCCCCTCCCGCCCCAGAATGCAGGTGTTTTTTCGTTGGTAGATCTCCTTGAGCCCGTCATTTGAAAAGTAGATCTCCAGACGAAAAATTGTGGGTGTCCTTTGCTCTAGAGAAAGACCAGCAACTACATCAACCCAAAGGATATAGAATCTCATGGATAAAACTCCCTTTAAAAGACAAAGTTCTTAAAGTAACTTAGACATGTAACATACATACATGAGAGTAATTCATTCTGTTAGACAACGTAACCACAAATCCTGGATCGTTAGGAATTGTCTTGTCACAGAAAATTACATCAACACGGTGATAAAGGTCTCTAAAGTACTCCTTGGCAGTTGCCAACTCACTGCTCTCGTTCTCAGGGTCATCTCTAGAAAAAAGAAAACAATGTAAGATAATTAAACGACTTCAGCAAAAAAGTCAGGCTTTGGCACTGAAAAACTTTGAGGTATTCTCAGCTTGAGACCTAGGCTTGTTTGTCTCGGGTAGATGAGTACCCCTTACCTTAGTGTGTCTCCAATGCAGTTCCGAAGAAATGTTCACCCTTAAAAGGGCATGCGCAGCAATCGCTTTTTGCATGCCTGCTCTAAGACCAACATTTCAATCAAAAGAGTCCTCCACATGTTCATTGATAAGGGACTTGTACAGGAAATATCCACTAACCTATCTACACAGTAGCGCAGGGCTGTTGTAGCATGAACTCTAAATGCTCCACAAATAAAGGATTACTCTGAAGTAAAGCTGGATTCTTTTCTAACATGATATCTATGGCAGGTTGCAATGCGAGGTCTACCAGGGAAGACAAGGTTTTGGAGAGTGACGCCAGCCGTTTTATCTACAGGACCCTTAAATACTGGCACATCCTCTACAAGAATCATCAGAGCTTTATTAAGACACTGCCGGATCAACTGTGGGAACAGTCCACTTCTTTATAAAGGCCTCCCCCAAATGGGAATTGGAAATTTTTTGGAGACTGGGAAGTTTTTCCAGTGAATGTACAGAACTCTTTGGAAATATAAGAGCCAAAATGGTCTCTCTGAGCCTGGGAGTAAAGGCAGCTGGTTGCATCTCCTCTTCTCAGGACAACTTTATACAGTAAGGATTTGTGGAACTGTATACCTGAGGTTTATGTCCTAAGACTGTCGATAAGTTTTTAACATTAAGCAAATAAAGCTTTTTTTTCAACCTTGCAACACAAACAGTCGTACAAAATAGTTAACCTGTCAGATCTCATATCTCAGGTACTAAAGGAAAGAAACCGGTAGCAAGAGGTGGCAGCATGTTCCTACTTTCAGCTTTTTAAGTACCCCAGGAGTAACAAAAAAAACTTCAGTCTAAACTCTGGCATGTCCCTAACTAATCACTCAATGAAATGTGCCAGCCTTGCTAGCTATATAAAAGTAAGCATTGCAGGGAGGTGTAACCAGAGAACCAACTTCTATAGCTGAAGCTAAAAAAGAAAGCTAAAAAGGGAGTGCATAAGCAGGTTCCTCATGGCGTCTACTTTTGACTTTTTTGCTGGCCTTAGTACCCGTTAGATACAAGAGGTCCACTATAAACTAAGGCTAGGCAATACTATTTAGATGGTTACTAAAGAAAATCCCCCTACTTATTAGAATGTACAAAATGTTTCACATACAAGATGCACTGCAGATACTCACTTTTGGAACACTATAATGTCACCATCCATAAGCTCATCAAGTGCTTTATCAAGGGACACATCATAATCTTGAATGCGTTCAGTTAAATTCGGTTTTACTTCCTGGAAAAAAATACAATGTCTATTATTTAGGATAATAGGTTAAATATTTTATCATTGTAATGGTCTCTTTTACCTCTATGCTTCAACATAATTTAAGTTTCTTTACCCACTTGCTGACCGGGGTGTTTATACCCCCTTCCTGTCCAGGCCATTTTTCAGTATTCAGCGGTGCGGTACTTTGACGGACGCTTATTCCGTTATGCAACGCTGTACTGAAATTAATTTTATACCATTTTTTGGGGACAGATAGAGCTTTCTTTTGGTGGTATTTAATCACCACTGGGGGTTTGTTTTTATTTACTATATAATGAAAAAAGTACCGATAATTTTGAAAAAAAAACCTGTTCTCTCTACGTTATGTTATAAAACATTATCACCCAATTTTTTGGTAAAATATAAAAGATGGGGTCACATCGTTTAAATAGACACCAAACATGTCAAGCTTTAAAATTGCGCGCACCGGCTAAAATCTCAAACACGACCATACCCAAAATTGATCATAGCCGACGCTTTAAAAGCTTTTACAGTTTACAGTTATCATTGATTAATGGCCCTAGAATTATTGCTCACACTCCGACGTTCGCGGCGATATATAACATGTGCGGCGCAATGGATGTAATCGTCGTTTCCGCACGTAGGCGGACTCGACGCATGTTTGCGCGTGCATATGGGGGCGGGGGACTTTTTTATTTTTGCTTTGATATGTGACTTTTAATTTTTTTTTCACTTAACTTTATTGCTATCACATAGGGAGCAAACAAGCTCCCTATGTAATAGCCAATTTGCAGTGATAGGTCCGCTTTATGGAGACATCAGGGGCCTTTAAGACCCCTGTCACCTAGGGACCCCAGGAGAAGCTGATGAAGCTGAGACCTGCTTCACCAGCTTCTCTCTGGTTTCTGTACCGGAGAGTGACAGGAATGCCGAAGTGATGTAATACACATCACTTCCTGCATTCCGACGAGGAGGAGATCAAACGGAGCTCGTGTATTTGATCTCCGGCGCAGAGCTTCCCCCCCCCTGGACAGAGGGGGGGGCGCACACCCGCACGCAATTACAAGCGATCGGGCGTCTCTACAGACAGCGCTGAAAACTGTAAAATGGCCTGGCCAGGAAGGGGGTGTAATACCCTGGTCTTTAAGTGGTTAAAATAACAAACACCTTTAGAAATGTTTAATAATGACAATCTACAAACACATAACTCTAGATAATTGCACGCTTGGTATTCTTTGCATACCTTATTTCTCTTTTCTTTCCCAGTCTTCTGACAGGGGCCATGTTTACTAAAGGTAGATTACTACTTCTACTACTACTTCCTGGATTTCTGGCACATGTGACTAGACATTTGACTAGGACATCTCCTGAGATGTCACAGTTGAGATTTCCCAGCAATGCTCTGCTGATGACAAGGCAATCCCACTTGCACAGGGTGGGCAAACTGATGTCGCTCCCTGGACGGCCGCTACTTGAGGCCCCGGTCTGGATGCGGCCTACGTTGTCCTAGGTTACCTAGGCCTCTCTTGGGGCTCTTGGGGTGGGGGACGGGCGCTGTCTCGGTCCCCAGCGGCCGCCTGTGCAGGGCGGCAGCATCCGCGCCAGACGTCGCTCGTGCGGCGGCAGCTACTCGAGGCCCCGGCTTTTGCGGCCTACGTTGTCCTTGGTTACCTAGGCCTCTCTTGGGGTGGGGGACGGGCGCCGTTTCAGTCCCCAGCGGCCGCCTGTGCAGGGCGGCTAGAGAGAAAAGGATTTTACGGTGAGTACAAAAATCCTATTATTGCCGAGATAAAGTAACTCCTGTGCAGTAACTCCTGAACAATCAAGCAGCTTAAGATTCAGAATCCAGAAGTAGACCAGGGCGAAGGTGAAAACACCGGAAAGGGAAGAGATCGCGGACATTACAGTGCTGGAGGTAAATCACTTTCCTAAGTAAGATTTACATAATGTGCTAATATGCTGTGCATATTAGCACATTATGGCTAAAACCTCCTGGGGACCCTTTTTCCCCAATTACTTCTGCTATAAGGTATAAAAGGTAAAATTTAGGGATGCACAGATACTTTTTGAGTACCAGTGCAGATACTTGGCATTTTCATGAGAATTACCAGGTTTGCAGCGGTTGCAGCTGGGACCTGGCTCTGGCACTCCACCACTGTCCTGAAATCATTAGTCTGTATTGTTTTAGAAAAACTGTCACATGACAAACAAAAATGTATCAGTACTCGTAAGTACTCGGCAAGTACCAGTACTCCCAAAACTGGTATCTGTGCATCCCTTTATTTATAGTTATAAAAACAAGAGCATACATTAAAACAGAGATGTACAAATCCCAGGAGCTCCGTGTGCTCCTTACAAATGCCAGCTGCCTAATTTTTGAATTTCTCTCTAGTCTAGTCTTGGAGCTCAAAAGTATCGGTACTTGTACCGAGTACTGTACTTGGTATCTGTGCAACCCTAGTAAAAATAAATAAAAAAGGAAAATGAAAGTACCTCATAGAGGATAAGGTTAGTTCCTTGCGGAAATCCAGCTCGCTCGCACATAACTGGTAGTAGGTCACCTATTGGAACACATGAAAGATTTAACTAAACGTCCCAGCAATACAAGAACACTTAATTAAAATGCTGAATACTTACGTATTTTACATGAGATTGGTGTGTAGATATGTCCACAGTAATTTAAACTTCGACTTTTTGGATCATACATTTTTAAAAACAGCATTACGTCATCTGTCATAACATGAAAGAAGAATTATGTCACACGACTACTATAGCCTGCAAGATAACACACACTTAAAATACCAACTTCAAAAGCACATTCATCAACTACTGAAATAAAGTGTTTGAAAATGGTGTTCAATTATATTATAAAAAATGTTTAAAAAAAACCTCACATCTAAAAGTGATATTTATTTTATCAGAAACAATTTGATAGACTGTGGATAGAAGTACATCCATCTTTGATGCCCCACTAATAAAGGAAATTCATGCTCAGCCTAGTTGTATTGCTCTAATGCTGTCCCTCTGGATGCCAAGTCACTAAACACAAGAATATCTGGGTAGATAAAAAGAGAGGATGAATGAATCACCCGCTGTGTACATTGGAATCTGACTGCAAGGAAAGTTTGTTTGACAATATTCCAGCATATCCCTTCAACAAAAGTAGATCTAATGATTGACTTTTGCTGGGGAGACAGGGCAACCCCACGGATCACATTATGGGCAATTTCTGACAAACTGGCTGAAATTCGATCCGTGTGAACCCAGTTTTAGTTGGTAAGGAGCTCTGACTTGACTAGCAACATGCATGGTAAGGGTTAGTGACTCTCAGTATCATGGCAAGAGACCTCCAGTATTCCTTAAATGAGATCAGCAATGGCTTCCTGCATATTTCTATCAGCACATTGCTTTAAAGTAGACCTATTCACATATCTTTAAAATAACAAAACACACCTAAAAATGTTTAATAATGACAATCTACAAACACATACCTCTAGATAATTGCAGGCTTTGTATTCTTTGCATACCTTATTTCTCTTTTCTTTCCCAGTCTTCTGAGAGTGGTCATGTTAACAAAGGGCAGGTTACTAGATCTCCATTTACTTCCTAAAAATCTGGCACATGTGACTAGGACATGTGACCATGTACATCATCTCAGGAAAGGAAAATGCCTTTTCCTGAGATCTCAGATTACAGATAAGATTTCCCAGCAATGCTCTGCTGATGTAACCTTCCCAAGATGCAACGCTTTGGCACTTACATCATTTTGCCAGAACTGGACCAGGAATTAGATGAACTCTTTGTAAGTAAATGAAAAACAAGTTGCAAGATGATTTTAAATCAACATGCAGCGCTGCATGCTGCTGTAATTTTTAGTGAAGGGGGTAAAGTTCCTCTTTAACTGCCTCCGGGCCTTCTGTAGTAGAAAAACGGCCGGCCTGGAGCTCTCTAGATCTGAGCGGGCGTCTTTAGACGTCTGCTCAGACATGCCCCCTCCGGCGAGCGGGAAATGGCCGTTTTTGAAAAAAACAGGCAGCGATGCGAATCGCGTGTATGGGGTGCCGATCAGTCTGCGGCTGGGAGACAGCGGTGCTAGATGTGGGTGGCGTGAGGGTAACTGGAGGACTTTATCTTTGAAGACAAGCAGACAGACTTCTCTGCTCGGTTCATCACCTCTTTTCCTCAAATTGTTGGGCCAACAGATCGAGTGACTGAAGTACTTCTTATATGCCTGTACTCCTCTTACCTTTGACTCAGTATTGGGATTTGGCCCAGATCACACCCCTCCCATTTCTAGGGGGGACGGCGCAGGTGTGCGGTTCGACTAGACCTGCCCAGACACACATACACAGACTATGCAATTCTGATATTCCCTGTAGCTGATGAAGCGCATGTGTGCGCGAAACGTCGTACAAGCTCCTCCAATGCAGATCTCTCAACATCTCACAGCATCATAGTTTTTGATGAAATTATGTTTTGTTGATTACCTTTGAGTCCTTGGAATGTTTATTATGTTCTAAAATCATCATATATTCATATTGTTGTGTTAAAATTATGCTGTAGGACAAGTATACATGGAGAGAGCATCCAGGGAGCTATCTATTTAGCTGATGTTTAAAATGGACTAGTTGTCTAGCTACTTTTAACTTTATATAATTAAAAATACCAATTTTTATATGAACTTTTTCTATGTGGAGTTATTCTTTGGTGCTTTCAAAACCCCACTTTCTATTCTTGCGACACCTAAAATAAATAAATAAACCCTGACTGCAAGCCATGCAGAGCTGTCCGGCATGGAGCTTGGCGTGCAGTGTGTGAACCGAGTACAGTCAGATGAATGACGGCATCTTCAGCCAATCGGCTCGCGCGTAATAACCAGATGAGTTCGCATTGTGACGTGCGGGTTTATAAATGCGCGCCGATTGCCTGAAGATTTAGTTTTTTTTATCTCAGCACGCTCAGCTATGCGAGCTCTCGCAAGCTGACGTGCCTGAGACAAAATTACATGACACACTGCTCGCGATGGCAGTGCACCACCGCTCCACACTGCTTCCTGTGCAGTGTGTCACAGCCTCTAATGTTCCTGTTTGTCCTCCCCTCGTTGGTTCACAAAACGCTAGGCTTTCTGTGAAAAGATGAGGGCAGATGGAAGGATGTTAGACAGGCTATCCGCTCGTCCAGTTACAGAATGCCTTGTATTCTGTAAAAGATAACACAGGGAGTTGTGAATGATACTAAGCAGCCAGCAGGATATATGGTACACTTCATTACAGGTAAATTATGTGACTAATGCTGTAAGCCCCCTAAAAAATTTACTAACTCAGTTTTAAAGAAAAGTGTATATTCTTCAACAGGATAAATAGACCTTTTAAGGAGTTGATCTAAAATCATAGTGCAAGAGGATGTACATTAATTATAGGTCAGCCGACATTCACAAAAAAGTAATAAAAATAAACTGATACCACTACATTTATATTAACATGCAACAGAAACGAAAATGCAGAGCAAGAAGAACTGATTCCATAAAAAAAAAAAAAGGAAGATTTTAGAGAGGATAGCCTACACTTACGATCTTTGTCAAACTTGGGAAGCGTTGCCCCACTAGCAGCCATTTCTGGATCTACAGTTTCCAAAAATATTGTCCAAGGATTCTCGTTGTCACTGAGCTCAATCATCTATAACAAGATATGTTAAAATTAGTATAAACATTTAAACAGAAAAATGTTTATAGAGTTTTGTTTTTTTAACTGAAAACTATTAATGTGGGACAGTCTGTTGTCTGCGTCCTTGTAGGAAAAGTTTCTCCTCTCCTCAACCCTGAACCCCAACAGCAATACACATACTGAAATAGAATGTCACAAAGGCTCAAACTCTTCCTTACGCTAACCAAATTTACTTTAGTGGTCCTCAGCAGGGTTTGAATCTATAAGTATCAATTGACAACCATCCTAGGGATGTTTACACCATGAAGATTACAGTTGAATCCTTAATTGTTTCTCTGAAGTAAACTGCTACATGGTTTTAAACCATTACAAAATAAAAGGTATTAAGATTACTGCAATATTCTGCCGATAAATACCTCCATGCCCAAAAAATAAAAATGGTCAAAAACTAATCAGGTGATTCCAAATTAACATTACAGCTATGCTGGCCATACATATATTGAAACAAATACCCAGTAACAGATTCCATAGTTTCAAAAGTTCTTTTGCATGAAAGTAATCGTTAAGACAAAAGAGCAATACAGTTCTATTGGATTTTCCACCAGTACATATCGTCCCTTTTCAATAAAAACAATTGTTCGAAATCATAATTCATTGCTTTCAAGTTCCTCAGGACATATAAAAAAAATGTAAATACATAAAAATAAAAAAAAATCACATGCAAGGCCAGTATTACACTTATTCTGGAGATAAAAGCAAATTTTGTTTCAGATTTAATCTGCCAGATCAACAACAAACAACTAACTAAAGGCTGCAACATCAGCTTCAACAGACAATGACAACTACACTTCTTGGTGGGTGTTAAGAATTTGCACCAGCCTGCCCAAGATTATTCCAGTGTGTTTAATCACAGAATTCACCTGAATAACACAAAATACTATAACTAGCACGATGAACGCCAAAACGATGAATGCAGAGATGAGAAATGCGTTGACCATGTCAAAAAAGTGAACCACTTTGGGAATTACCAAACCAATTATGAAATCAAATTCAGAGCACTAAAATATTTAGTAAAAGTATTTTGTAAACCTGAAATTTTACTCAGAAAGTATACCCTTATTGGCCTTATTTTTTCCATTAGCAAAATAAAACCCATATACAGCTCGATAACAGAACTGCATCTTGTCTTATTAAGTATATATACTGTACACACACACAAACATCTTCCTTAGAGGAAAACAAACGAAAAATAGCTATCTGTAAAAACAAGAAATAGTATGTTGGCAAAAGTGTGGTCACCCCTCAATGCAATATGTGAGGAAAAAAGAACAATGCATGAGAGGATAACACAAGCAAACATATGTTACATGCAAACATATGTTCATTTAAAGGTTGAAACCAAAATCACAAATGTGATATATTTTTAGCTTACCAGGCCATAGATGAGGTGGCTGAATCCACCCCCAATCCCCCCCCCCTCCCCTTTATATACTGCTAAACCTTCAAATAACACTTCCTCTGCCTGGGTGGCTACACTCACTACTTCAGTGTACTTATACCTGTACATGGGAAGTGATGGGATTAGTAGTTTAGGCAAATATAATAAGATGGTTTATGTTTTCAGCTCAGCTCCCAGGAAGTAACAAGTACACTGCATTTCTGGAAAGATCAGCAGCTATTTTGTAATCTTGCTGTAAAGGTTTGTAAAAATTTCCAGAAAACTAATGCAGCCACCACATCCATGTACTTGGTAAGCTGCAGCCACCACATCCATGTACTTGGTAAGCTGCAAAAAGTTACATTTTTTGTTCTTGGGTTTATTTATTGCATTAAACAGCCCAAAGAAATGTACAGAATACAAGATGTAACGACTGAAAACCTGAGCAGTTTTCACTGCATCATTTCATATGAAGTTGATCTTTATGCATTTAACAAAAAACATGGGTTTAGAAATACTACAATAATAACAATTTAAGACAGGTCCCTATACAAATAATTACAGTTTTGCTGCAATCCGCTTCATAGTCCAGCATTGCAGGTCTTTTTGTTCCATTACTCCGTGCTTGCATTGGCCATAGCCGAATCTGGTCTTGTGGAAATCCCTGTGAGGAATAAAAACAAACAAATATTTATGATGGTCAAAAAACTGCAAAAAAACTTGAGCAATTTCCAACCTCACTTTAACACTCTACTGAAGTGATATTTTAGCTAGAGGTGGCGTATAGTGGTCTATATATGTTTTACATATCAAGTTTTTGTAATATATACTGTATTTTACAATGCAGAGACATCCTGCTGGACAGCAGTCTAAAACCGTAGGTATAATAGCACAAAGTCACAATGTTGGACAGCATTTTACCATATGAAAAGCTGCAAATTAAACCTATAGTTTCCAGCAAAACATAGTAAAGTCTACAATTTATATATGCCTCTTCCTCAACACTTACACTTTTAACAGGGTCGTTTATTGGTTACCGCTTGTGAATTTGGTTTGGAGTTTTGAAGTTGGTTATTTTGTTAATAAATCAGATCTACATATTGTGTGGCCCTCAAACAAATTTCTCAGAAGAAAGTGTTTTCCTTGCCTAGGTCCTTTGGTGATGCCAGCAGATGCACTGGGGCTCATTATGCCTAGAATGCCAGCTACCACTGGTTTACGCTTTAGTTAAATAAAAACCATAAAAAAGAGGTGGATGGCCCCACTATGCACCTCTGGAACAACAGAACACTCTATACACAGTGCTCTATACCTTTTGGTAATCCACAACTTCCTGGGCTGAGTAGTGGGAGCCCATTCGTCAGTGACCGCCAGAAGATGCAACACACAGCAAATGGACACACCCTGCTGCATGCAACCTTTTAAAATGGCGTCCCAAAGAAATCATTTTGAAAAATGGGCTTAACATGAAATGAAAAAAAAAAAAAACCTTTATAAAAGGGATTGGCATCACACACATATATGCTCATTAGGAGATATGTGATAACTGACAAATTTATACAGGTGTACACAAAATTAGGCAGCTGAAAAAACAAACACATTTATACTGGAGCACCACTTAATTGTACAAAATGAGTAGTGTGATGTATTAATTCCCCAATATCAACAAAGAAAAATGAACCAGATGTATCAGCATATGCACCTAATTGTCTGGACTGCTCTTTATCCACCAGATTAATGCTGGTCCAACACAAGAGCATTTTGTTTTGAATTGTAAATATTTGCAATGCTTCCAACAGCAGCAATTTGCCCACCCACAATATCTAGACAGTAAAAGTTGATCAAACCAATATAGTACCCATCAAAAGGCATCTTTAATTTGATCTCCATTGTAATTTCATTAAAAAAAACAATTAACTGCGTCAGAATGCCGTCGCTGAAAGCTCATAGAAAGCCTAAAAACTGCCAAGTGTATTACCAGCATAAAGCATTTAGATCCCAACTGTTGATTTGAGGGACAGTATTAAGATCTGACCACTGGATGGCACAAGGATACATAAGCCCCATTAAAATCCAGTGTACAACCTACTAGATAAAAAGGCTAACGCTTACAAAGTATTTTACGGTCTTGCCAGTCTTTGCCTTTATGTGACATGCATGCAGTATGGCTGTGTTAACCTGAAATACAAGGCTTTCAAATATAAAAATTGTCCACCTTTCTTTAATCCCTTCACTACCCATCACGGGATAATCCCGTCATGAATCCTCAAAGGGTTAAACAGACTCCTGGCAGGACTCTGTTCATACTTGTAGAGGCGGCTTTACAGTAGAAGCAATTCTGGTGACGCGGCTCTACGATCAGGTAAAGTAGCCAGCCCCCCTCGAAACCCCCGACGTGTTTCCCGGGCTCCACTGCCACTCCTATGGGCCCAGGATCGGCATCTCGGGTGTGGCGGGAAGCCGGGGAGGAAAGCGGTGAACGTCCTTTCACCGTTTTCCTCCCAGTTCTATGGGACCGGGAGCGATGCGTATTGCATCACATACGGTCCCTGAGCTGGTATTGCTGGGCTCCTGAAGCCCAGCAACCAGCTATTGAAGTGCGATCTGCACTTGAAATAAGCTATTGTAGTGTAAAGGTGATACTAGGGGTCTTTTGGACTCCCAGTATCACCTTAAAGAGTACCTCTCACCACCAATATGCTATCACATGGGGGACTTGTAAGCCCCCCTATGTGATAGCAATTAAAGTTAACAAAAACACAGTTTTAGAAATATGAAATAAATTAAATGTAGAAACATAAAAACTTTTTTTTTTTTTTTAAGTCCCCTGCTGCCTCGAGTCATCACGTAAACATGCGTCGGGTGCACCTACGTACAAAAACGACGATTGCGCTACACATGTTGGGTACTGCCACACACACACCAGAGTGAGAGCAATAAGTCCCTGGCTTATATTTACGCGCATCTCTAAACTAATGACCTGTAGGGGCTTTTAAAGCATGCATGGACTTTTTGGGGTACTGAATTCTGTCGCAGTTTCACGGACACACAATTTTTTTTACCTGGGCATGTTGGGTATCTATTTACTCGTGGTAACCTCATCTTTTATATTTTAAAAAACAAAATGGTTTTATATAGTGCTTTGGGGCACTAAATTTAACAAGTGCATTTTTCACTAAATTTTGGGGTTTGATAAGTTGCGTTAATGTCATGCAACATAACAAATTTGCAACGGCGACCATTTTATTCTATAGGGTCTTGGCTTTCAGAAAATATGTAATGTTTGGGGGTTTTAAGCAATTTTTAGGCCTAAAATGTGAATTATAACATGTAAACAAAAAAAAGAAAAAAAAACACCTTTGTCCTTAAAGGGTTAAAGTACATGGAAGGCCAGCTTACCATAGTTTGTGAAAGGTTCTGAACAAATTCGGCCAGGGTAGAGTTTTTTAATACTTTGAACACAGTGTATTTTACTTTTTCCTCATCATACATGTCATTTCCTTGATGTCCACAGAACTGGTCCTCTGTAACGATCTAAAAAAAATTTAATTCAAAACAATGTGAACACATTTAAAAAAAACAAACATTCATGTAGTTGAGTCTGAGATGCCTCATTTCTCACAACCTGAATGACTTGTTCATTTGCAATATGAAAATGTTAACGCCTAGCTTTTTCTGCGTTTTCCAGGCACATATTTCATTACATTGCCTATTTTTTTAGATCTACTCTTCATATCGCCCATTGAACATTGCTGTCTCTGGCATCGCCTTCACTTATTTAAAGAAACAATTCAAGATCAAAGATGGTCTTCTGCGCACTGTGAGGACTGAGGGATTCAACTCGAGCAATGCTTGCATTTCCACCCGTCCTTGCCACTTACCCATTCACGAAATGCCTTGTATATTTCTCAAAAAATACAAAGCATTTTGTGACTGGAGTAGGAGACATGATCTTAAATCCCTGCCCCCTGCTCCAAACATAGAATGCCTTGTATTCTTTGAGAAAAATACAATGCATTTAGTTAATGGGCAAATAGCAAGGAGCGGTAGGGATGCAAATGTACAACTTCAGTGCTTGAGTCACATCCCTCACTCCCCACAGCACCTGGAAGTTGAGTGTTAAGTGTAGGAGCCAGCATGCTGCAAAGTAACACTTTTATACTTTTCAGCAGCCCTCCACAGATAACATACAGCTTTTTAGTGATAATTTACACACCCCATGTGTACACTGTCACTTTTTTCAGGAGTTTGGCTTTAAGGTGTTCCGATACCAAAATACAAGCACACACATGCACACATTATATAATATATACACAAAATTAGCCTAACCTGTACTTGCATGTAGAGATGAGCTTCCTGGCGTTCTTTTCTCTTCTGAGCTTCAATTCGCTTCTCTTCTTGTAGCCTCTCAACAAGTTGCTGGGGTATATCATGATCTGTGACAGGTTGTAAGACCTCATCTAATAAAGAGAGGATTCATTACTTATATCATTTCAAATACACATACGCATGTCCATGGACACGAATACTAGAAGGGTGAAATTATTTCAGATGAATCTGAAATTTGGAATGATTGATCTCGGCTATGCTCATACACACTAGCTTGCAAGCCCTCTGACTCCTATGCACAGGCTCAGTCGAGATAAAAAAATGCTCATGTTTGTTAGCTTTGCACCTTCCTGTAATTCCACCCTTTGACAAATTGGCAAATTATTCCATTTGACATCATTAAAACATAAGGAATCTGTCAATATTTGCATACTTTAGAAAATCCAACAATTTCTAGCAGAAATGTTGAATGGAAAGCAATAGTACAGGATGCGCACAGAACTCTGTATAGGCAGACCTTGCACCCACTAGTGACAAAATCTATACATGTGATGGTGTATGTTTGAACAATATTTGTAAACTGCATGTGTGCATATGCAGGTCTTCTCTTGGTTTTTACAATACTCACTAAGCTTGGATTCCCTGATGTAAACCAGCATGTATGCATTTGTACAGTGTCGCACAGACAAGTCGTCATCGTGTCCTCCATAATTATGCTCGACAGCCTCTTCCTTTGTACATCTTGAAACTACATCGTCATCAAATTTACACCACTGCAGGAAAAAAAAAAAAAAAGGATACATGAACACTTCCAATGATAAGTCCCAATTCAAGTGGAGGAGTTTAGAAACCAAGCAGAAGCAGTAGCAAATAAACTGTCATCAGATCATATGACATCTAATAGATAATACAGTCATCTCTCAAATGTAGCAGTAAAATGGTATGGCTTTCCAATTAACAACTATTACTACAAATTTTTCTGGACATTTCAGCTTAAAAAAGAAAAAAAATGTTCTGATCATTATCAAAATCACAGCAACAAAGGCAGCCTTAAGCACAATTATGTACACTGACATGTCTTAAAAAAAATAAATCAATTTTTCATAACTGTCTCTAATGTCTTACTAGTTTATATTTCAAAATAACTTTCAACATACCAAAATTCTACTCAGACACTTAACCATAGTGCTCTGTTGTCCCACAAAATTTTAAAATGAAGTGGCAGTAAGGAAGGGCTAACATGGCATTACTAAGTCCTATCACAGAGGCATCACTGCATGGCTAGGAACTAGAGTTACCATGATTTATTTTGTCTATACTTGCTCAATGCAAGATTTGGGGGGAGTAGCGTGGGTAATGAAAGCAAGCTCGAGACCACAGATAATAACTGCCCTTTATTTGGAGAAGAGATGTCAGTTAGCAGGCAGATTGGGTAGATCATATGACCAATACCTGTACCACTAATTCACAACCAGAGTCTGAGCATAGGACAGGGCACTCCTTCTCCAGTCTGTGGGCTGCTAGGAGATCATAGATTACCACACTCAGACTCCCAAACTGGACCATGAGCACAGATTGTAGTGATTTGTTAAACACTACACAGTAATACTAATACTACTATTATAATACAGGTTTTATATAGCACCAACAGCTTGAGCAGCACTTTACAAAATAAGAGGAGACAAATACAGTTAAAATGCAATTCAATACAAAAGGGGTTAGTAGGGAGAGAGGGGAAAGCGATTAAAAAAAATAAAAATTCACTGTCAGGAATGAGCTGATTGAGAAAGTAAAAGTACAATCCCACTCCCAGTTGGGACTGTGTAAAATCTACATAAAACAATGCAATGATTTGCAAACCTCAAAACCAATACTCTGTAAATGTCTGGGAACTGAGACCAGCTGCTGGAATTTTGGGAGAGAAACGTTGTCCAATTTTTGCCTGATACAGGATTCCAACTGCTCAACAGTCCTGGGTACAATTTGTATTTTTTGTGTCAAGATGCTCCAAATATTTTCAATTGGTGACGGTCTGATGAAGGTCTGAACTGCAGGCCGGCCAGTTAAGCCCCCGGACTCTTCTACAAAGCCATGCTGTTGTCACACATGCAGTATAGCATTGTCCTGCTGAATGTGCAAGGGCTTCCTTTAAAAAGTCGTCTGAATGGGAGAATGTGCTGCTCTAAAACCTGGATGTATCTTTCAGCATTAATGATGCCTTTTCAGATGATCAAGCTGCCCATTCCATAAGCACTAATGCACCCCCATACATTGCAAAATGTTCTTCAAGCACTTCCTTGTTAGTAGCACTTACTTTGCAAGCTTTTTGTTGCCCTGTCCCAAACTTTGAGACATGTTGCTGCCATCAATTTAATCATTGGATATGTTTTAGATTTTTTTTTATTGCGAATAAAATATGGGTTTATGCGATTTGCAAACCATTGAATTCTGCTTTTATGTAGATTTTACACAGCATCCCAACTTTTTGGGAATTGGGGTTGTAGATAGCTTTCTCTGAAGAGATGAGTTTTCAGGAAACGCCTAAAGACGGACAGCAGGAGATCGCAGGACAGAAAAGGGCAGGAAGTTGCAAAGGATTGGATAGCCTCTGGAGAAATCTTGGAGGCAAGCATAGGAAGAGGTGATGTGAGAGCAAGAGTGCAGGTGGTCTTGGAAGGAGTGGGTAGTACAGTTGTGGATGGCTTTGTATGTTGTGGAGGGTTTGGCCGAAGGGGCCAGTAGATACTGAATGGTAAGGCAAGGTAACATGGATAAGTCTGGGAGCAGCACTCTTGACAAACTGGAGAGGGGACAGCCTGTGTCAAGGTAGGGCAATGAGGAGGGAGTTGCAATAATTGATGGAAGAGATAACAAGGGAGTGAATTAGAAGCTTTGTGGCCTCACTGGTTAGGAAGGGGCATATTTTGGAGATGTTTGGGAAGCTAAGGAGGCATGATTTCGACAGATTGGATGTTGTGTCTGAAATGAAGGGATTGATGATTTATTAATCTTTATGGAAATATTAGTTCAGTTTTGAAAAGACATCGTTTAAGGAAATGCCGTGAAATCCACACGGATATGTCAGTTAGTAAATGAGTGATGCACCAGGAGACTGAAGGGGTGAGCTGAGGAGTAGAGAGAGATATTGGTGTCCTTAGCAATGAGATGGTATTGGACGCTATGGAAGGCTATCAACCAATCCAGAGAGGACGTGTAGAAAGAGAACAGATGGGTTCGAAGGACAGAGCCTTGGGTGCCGAGGTGGCTACCAGCAAAAGAGTAGTCTTGGAGGCCAAGATGGTGGAGGTTTTTTTTTTTTTTAGGTTAGGTCAAAGGCAGCAGAAAAGTCTAAGTCTGAATAGAAAGTACTGGTGATTGGTTTTAGTAGTAAGTCATTAAGTTTTAGGAGAACAGATTCTGTGGCATGTTGCAGAGAAAAGCAAGAATAATAGGAGTAAAGAAAGTGGTCATCAGTGAGGTGGTAGTTCAGATCATTGTAAACTAGAGGTTCTAGATGTCTGGAGGAAAAAAACAGGAGCAAGGAGATGGGTTGTAGGTTGTTAAAAATTATGGGATCCAGCGAGGGCTTTTTAAGGATGGGGATAATCAGTGCATGTTTTAGAGGGGTGGAGAAGATTCCAGGAGAGGGGAAGAGGTTGAAGATCTGAGTTAGAAAGCTTAGACAAGAACAAGAGTGTGAGTAGTTGTGAGGGAATCAAGTCCAGGAGAAGGTGGTTAGATGGGCGCCAGTCGTTTGGATACATATGCCGATTTGTTGACAATTTGCATTCAAAATTGAGCCAATGTCTTGAAACACGTCAGATTACATTGCAGCATTGCCATGCTTGAAGACTGGCAGTCATTTTTAAATACTCTTGTTAACACTGTGGAAAACATGGGGCTGACATTTTGACCTGCTCCTGAAAATACTAGTTGCCTGGATAGTATACTGGCCTATCGGTTTCAATATTTTGAGTGACATGATCCAATATTTTGACCTGGAAAAGAAGAAAAAGTATGCAGATCAGGTCAGTGACAAAGTATGGAAGCCAGAGATTCAAGTATGACAACCAGACAGGCAGGATTTTCAGAATGCAAAGCCAGTATAGTCCACCTTTTTTACAGAAATGTTTTAAATGACTTTTGTATATGTTTTGTATTATCATCAAGTGACATGGCCAAACAACATTAAAGCTTTAGATTTAGGTTTTACATTATCTACAGATGCCCAGATAGTGGCTGAAAGCTGTTCAGGTCCAAGAGAAACAAAGCCACTAGAAACTACTTTACTTTATTAGAAGTTACATCTGGGATAAGATTTTGGTGTTGGAATTCATTTTCCACCCAAACATGGAAACATTAACATCCAAAAATAGTCAGTCATTTGTTTTTCTTTTTAAATCAACTTATTTGTATGGCTGTGGAATGCCCAAGTAGTCTTATGACTTAAAAAAATAGGATACCTACAGATTATACTGTAGCCAACAGGAGGATTGGACACAGAAAAAAAAATGTATGCAAGCACAGAATAACCCCTACTACTAGCATGTCTCAGTTCTGCAGCCAAGAACATGATCATAAAGACAGAGGGGTGGCACCTATGTTCCTCAAAACTGACTCAAACACGGGCGTTCACCATGAGGAGCCTCCTTAAAACGAACGACTTCCCAACTCCAAAGCCGGATTCCTGAGCCACCAAACCAGAGACAAATGAATCTGTCTGTTAAGGTACATGATTGACTTGTCCCACGACGACAGAATGTTGCATTTAGGTAGCCTGGAGTTGAACTGGGCATTTGAACTGCCTTGAAGGAGGCTATCATCAGGCAAAAGTGAAAAGGCAAGTGACTTGTGGAAAAGCAGAGATCTTGGAGCTTGAATATCTCCAGGGCAAGACCCAGATACTCCCAAATAAGTCAGTTCCAGTGATCACTTATGAAGTTTCAAAATCCAAAAGAAGCCAGAAAGTTTCACTAGTGAAGGGAGGCAATGATCCATGCGGAATATCCATGCTTGAATAAAGATATTCAGTTTTGAGATCCAAGATGAGACAGGGTTCCCCCTTCAGGGTTTAGGATCACTGAACAGGTTTAGTAAAATCTTTTGAAACTGCTCTGCCACAGCAACTGGGGCAATGACACCTTGGTGGAGAAGATCTGAAAGGGCTAAACGTCAAGGGGGCGGGGAGCGAAACTCCAGTTTGTTCAAAGGTTTTACAAAGGTCATCCCATAATGGAAAGTGTGGGCACACCTTCACTGAGGATTTGGCGGCAGACCAATAGCCAGACCTTGTGGGTGAACTGGGTATCTGGCTTGGTGAGTCTTGACCAGGATGTCAAGGAAGTGTAGAAATTAAAGGAATGTTTAACAGTGAAGGAGGGGGATGACTTCACAATCTGCTCCTTAGGTTTCTTTATCTGAAGAGGATACATTCTTTTGACACCAGTGGCCTCCTTGAGAGCAGTATTAAAAGGAGAACTATGAGGTGAGTGCTTTTCACTCACCTCATAGTTCTAGCCGACCTGTGACAATGAGACTGTCACAGGTCGGCTCAGTAGATCGGGAGGTGAGCGAACATATACCGGCGTTCGCTCACCTCTCGATCCTGTCACGGCTCTCTGCCATGACAGGGGAGGGGCTGGATTCCCCACTCCGATCAGCCAGTGCTGACTGGCGGAACGGACGGGGGAGGGGGCGGGTACAGCTGGCTCTGTCTCTAGATAGGCAGAGCCAGCTATCACTCACGCAGCTGGGCGGATCTCGACATCGATGT